CGGAGATGGCGGCGGAGAGGGAGGAGGAGAGGTTGAGGCGGCGACGGTGAAGATGGCGGTGGAGAGGACGGCGGAGATGGCGGCAGAGAGGGCAGCGGAGATGGCGGCGGAGAGGGCGGAGGAGAGGTTGAGGCGGCGACGGTGGAGATGGCGGTGGAGAGGACGGCGGAGATGGCGGCAGAGAGGGCAGCGGAGATGGCGGCGGAGAGGGCGGAGGAGAGGTTGAGGCGGCGACGGTGGAGATGGCGGTGGAGAGGACGGCGGCGGTCGAGAGAGTGAGTGAGGAGGCGGCGGTGGAGAAGGAGGCGGCGGAGAGGGCGGAGAGGGCGGCGGCGAGGAGGGCGGTGGAGAGGAGGGTCTGGATCGAGAGAGAGAGAGAGGCGAGGCGGCGTTCGAGAGAGTGAGTGAGTGAGAGTGGGTGCCGGATCTGGATCGATCTAGAATATGTCCAACCCTAGGTCAACCCTAGTCAAACTCACCTGTGACGGGCGCCAACTATGTGGCCGTCATAGGTGGCCTCACCTGTGACGGGCGCCAACCATGGAGCCGTCACAGGTAAGACCACCTGTGACGGGCCCAACTCTCTAGGCCGTCACAGGTGAGGTCACCTGTGACGGCCCTACAGATAGAGCCCGTCACAGGTGAGTTTGCCTAGAGCAATTTTATTTTATTTTATTTCACTTAGTTCTTTTATTTTCCTTAACATATTTTAACATACACTACATATTTTTTTATACTTAATTATTTTATTTCACTAACAGTAGTAATTGCACTTCATTATTATACTACTTTAATTATTTTATTTCCAATGCTTATACTTGCTTAATTATTTTATTTCACTTCTAGTGGGTGCTTCACTTAATTATTTTATTTGACTATTTCATAAGCAATATACTATTGATCATTGCGAACATATTAGAGTCATACAGATAACAGACATGTAGACATAAACTACGTACATAAATTACAAAAATAATCCTTCCTCATGGTCGACACGTGCATATTGAACTTCATCTTCTTCTTCCTCCTCTTCTAGAGGTATTTCTTGACCTATGCCGTGGACGTGCTGGTTGTAATCATCCTCGTCTGCAATGTTGTCCAATCCAACAATTCTCCTTTTCCCTTCACGAACAACATGTAGTTTCTTGTTACACGGGTCAACTATGTAAAACACTTGAACAACTTGTTTGGCGAGAACGAACGGTTCATCCTTGTACGCGTTGTTAGCTAAGTTGACAGTGGCGAAACCTTCATTGTCAACTTTTACATTGCGAAGATCGACCCATCGACAACGAAACAACGGGACTTTGAACTTCAAGTAATCTAGCTCCAATATTTGCTCAACTTTACCATAGTATTGATCACGACGACCACCGTCACTAGCAGTCTCGATGCGTAACCCACTGTTCTGCACTGTGCATTTGCTGTCTTGCTTTACCGTGTGAAAGGTGTATCCATTTATGTCATATCCTTGCCAGGTGGTGGCACTCCATTCAGGACCCTGTGACAACCACTGAAGTGTTTCACTAGACAAGTTCTGCAACCTGGCAATTCGGTTCTTCAGCCACTCGTTGAAAGAAGACATGTGCTTATTCCTGACCCAACTCTCTGATCGGCCTGGGTTCTCTTGTCGGATAACTGCAAGGTGTTCGTCAACGTACGGCACCACCTCAGTCATATGCTGTAGTACCGTGAAATGAGCTTTATCGTACACCTTCCGATCCAACCTAATAGTCTTTCTTCCAACAGTACCAACACCGTCAAGCCTCCCTTCGTGATGAGATCGTGGTAATCCAATTGAAGATGTTTCTGACATGTAGTCCACACAAAATTCGATGGCCTCTTCGGTGGTGTAACTCTCGATGATACTCCCCTCGGGGTGTGAACGGTTCCGTACATAACCCTTAAGGATCCCCAGGTACCTTTCGCAAGGATACATCTGCGTCATGAATGCTGGACCACAGCACTTTGTTTGCCTCACAAGGTGCACCGGAAGATGTTCCATTATGTCAAAGAAAGTTGGAGGAAAGTACATCTCAAGATGACATAGGGTTCTCACAAGTTCTGCCTGTAGTTCATCTAGTCCCTCGGGATCAATGATCTTCTGGCCGATTGCATGGAAGAAGGAACACAACCGCTGGATCGTGTGTCGCACCTTAGGAGGCAAAATATTCCTTATTGCAACGGGCAACAGCTGTGTGATAAGAACGTGGCAATCATGCGACTTCATTCCAACCAACTTAAGATCTTGCAGTGAAACGAGCCTACTGATTCTTGATGAGTAACCAGATGGAACCTTTATACCACTCAAACATGTTAGCAAATCAATCTTCTCTTCTTTCGAGAGAGTGTAGCTGGCTGGAGGAAGGTAAACCCTGCCGGATTCCGTGGTTATGGGATGTAGCTCCGACCGAACACCCATATCTTCCAGATCTCGTCGGGCGTTGAGACCATCCTTTGTAGTACCTGGGTTAAGCAGTAATCCCATTAAACTCTCGCATACATTCTTCTCGACATGCATCAAATCTATGCAGTGGCGAACTTCAAGATCCTTCCAGTATGGTAGTCTCCAAAATATTGACTTTTTTTTCCACATGCTCCTCTCTTTTGTCTTTTGTTTTTCCACATGCTCCTCTGTTTTTTCCTTCGATGTGCTCTTCTCTTTTCGCTTTCCAACTTTCCTCTTTTTTCCAAACTCGTTGGTTATTCCCATCACTAAGTTGTGCACCTCTGTCCCTGTTAGCTCTGTCGGGGGTCCGGCTGTATCTCTGTGTCCATTGAAATTCTTTCTCATATTCCTATACGGATGATACCTTGGGAGAAATCTCCTGTGACCCATGTAGACCGTCTTGTGTGAATGCTTCAACCATTTGCTTCTTGTTTCCTCCATACACTCCGAACACGCCCATTTCCCTTTCACAGTTTGGCCAGAAAGGTTGCCAAGGGCCGGATAATCGTTGATGGTACAAAACAGCATGGCATGGAGGTTGAAATACTCTTGTGCATATGCGTCCCATGTTCGTGTGCCCTCATTCCATAGCCTTTCGAAGTCATCGATTATCGGTTCAAGGAACACATCGATATCGTTGCCAGGTTGTCTCGGTCCTTGAATGAGCATGGCAAGCATAATGTACTTTCTTTTGAAACACAACCAGGGAGGAAGGTTATAGTTAACAAGCAGAACTGGTCATGTACTGTGACGACTGCTCAAATCACCAAAAGGATTAATGCCGTCCGTACACATTGCGAAACGCATGTTTCTTGGGTCATTTGAGAATTCCTGGTAAATCCTATCGATTGTCCTCCACTGTACTGAATCTGCTGGGTGCCTCAGCATAGTATCGACTTTCCGTTCTTCGGCATGCCAGCGCACAAGCTTAGCTTGTTCCTTGTTTGCAAACATTCTCTTCATGCGCTCCGCAATTGGGAGATACCACACCACCTTTGCTGGGCCTCCCCTCTTTGACTTACTTCCTTCACCTTCACTCTTTGCTCGTTTGTATCTTGATGCCCCACAGATAGGGCAGACATCCAAGTCAGCGTATTCCTTGTAATACAAAATGCAGTCGTTCGGACATGCATGAATTCTTCTGACCTCCAGGCCCAACGGACATAATACTTGCTTCGCTTCATATGTCGTCTGAGGTAAATTGTTCCCCTCTGGCAACAGATCCTTTAACAGCTCAAGGAGTTCTGTAAAACTCTTGTCCGACCAGCCATTACTAGCCTTAAGCTTCATGAGTTCCAACACGCATGACAACTTGCTGTGCTTCGACTTGCATCCATCATACAACGGCATCTGGCAATCTTCCACCAACTTACTAAACTTCTCATAATCTCTGTCGTTGTCCTCTGCGTCTTCAATGTCATGCAACATTGTAGATAGACATTGAGTGTCCAAATCTATGGTCTCTCCATCTAAAGGAGAAGGTACGAACATGCCTTCTCGAGCTGCGGCGGTGTTCTCTACATCCTGATCCAACACTTCTTCAGCTGCGACATCAGGCGCCTCTTGCTCTCCATGCTTGGTCCAGCAGGTATATTTCTTCATGAATCCATTCATTATCAAATGAGCATGCACTTCATCCTTGTCTTCGATCATCTGTTCATTCTTACAGTCCCTACATGGGCACAACATGTGCATGCTCATCCTACTTTTTCTGTCATTATCCGCAAATGTGACAAATTCAGTGACCCCCTCTCTATACTCGGTAGACGAACGATGCGCATAGTACATCCATCTACGATCCATCTGAAATCAACAACATACGAAGAAAAATAAATGATGATCGATATGTTGAGAATGAATGGAGAATAATGTGTTTTTTACCTTGAATTTTAGCAAAAATTCGCCCCCCTTGCCCTCCCAACCGATTTGTGAACAGTACAATGGTCGGGATGGAAAGCAGTTGGCAGTTTGGGGGTATTTATAGACCCAACACATCTCAAACGGGTTAGATAAAAAAAGCCCGTCAAAGGTATTGCTCATACCTTTGACGGGCTTCTATTCAACGGCCCGTCACTGGTATCCGCTCACCTGTGACGGGCTAGAAATGAAAGCCGTCACAGGTGGCGGCCCATCACCTCTGACGGCTTCTAATGTATCGGCCCGTCACAGGTGAGGGGATACCAGTGACGGGTTGGAAGCAAAACTCGTCACTGGTATACCTCTGACGGGTTTTCCTTTCGGCCCGTCACAGGTGAGGGGATACCTGTGACGGTCCGCGGCCGGATGGCTCACCGGTGACGTTATCTCGTCTGACCCGTCAGAGGTAATGGTCACTAGTGACCAAATCGTTTGCCCGTCACAGGTATCCCGTCAGAGGTGTGAGGATCTGGCGTAGTGAATGGATATTTAGTATTTATATGCGTAACAAAAAGATGTATGAATAATTAATATTCACCACAACAGTCCCTTTGGACTAGAACATTGGATTTAGTTTGGGTGAATAATTATTTTCTTAAATAAAAAAGTTTGGGGTGATTAATGGACTGCTAACCTTCTTCGTAGACAACGCCACAGAAGCCCGAACAACGGGGCCCACCCACTAGCCACAGTACCAAAGGGTCTGTGTCAGGGTTTCTCTCTGATTCAACGAAGTAGTAGAAGAGCTCAGTGCCAGTCTTCTCCTCAACACCAATGTACCTATTGTGTATACATTACACATGTACGTGCATATGTACCCAATTCTATGTGATGAGTTTATGCTCGTATAGTAGTAGTATGTAGAAGAAAATGGGACTCTCGGTGAGTAGTGCTTACCCAGTCTCGAGGTAGAATGGCAGGCGGCCATGGAAGCCCGGGAGGTGAGTGATCACCGCCGACGACGCCGAGCACGGGAGCGTCAGTGGCGACGACAGAAGCAGAAGAAGAAGCAGTAGGAGAAGGCAGGTGATGAGGCGCGGTGGCTGCACGAGGCTGCATTGCCCTGCGGTGGGGCGATGATGAGAACCCATCGTGAGGAGTGGAGATCCAAGAGGAGCGTGGCTGGCAAGTGCTTCCTCTGTTACTCTGCTAGTGCTCTTATAGCTTTATTGAGCTCTCGGCAAGCCAATGAATGCATGGTGAGAGGCCAGCGGTAAAAGGGAATGCTAAAATACTCCTCTGTTTTCTAATATATATAAGATGGTGTTGAGTTTTAGCGTGACTATTCGTTTTATTAAAGAATTATAAATTTTATTTATATTGTTCAAAGTACAAGCATGCGTAAGATGACTGAATAAAATGTGTAATGATTCACTGTGTCAATTAGAATTACACACTGCTTCCTCCCTCTCTAAATAAATACAGTTTGAGTTTAAAGATATGTAATAAGTGTTGTTTTATAGTGGTTCACTGTATCTCTTTAATACTACTCCGTCATTCTGAAATATAAGGCCAAGCACAACCACTTTTTTCGTGATGTTTCATAATGTAATGCACACCATATAGTTAACTTAGCATCTCCATTTTCCTAAATTAGTTTTTAAAAATCTTCTAACTTCAAGATCTCTAATTTCATTAGGTGCATACATTACATTTATTAAAGTGATCCAAACGAGAATATGGTAATAACTATTTCTTGATGTTTGCGTTAGTGATGGTTGTGCCTTATAATTTAGAGTGGAGGAAGCATTTCATCATTTTCTTCTTGATTTTAGCAATTCAACCAATAGTAATCTCTCCTCGTTTTCTCCCCCATACCATTCTCGCCACATAAATCAAACAAATTGCCTGCTCCACTCCTGATTCCCCTATGTTTACTGATTAGATTCCCCTTAACATTGGCATCTCCAGAAGAAACTTACAGGGAGCCCTTGCCCGGTCTCAAGGTGGAACGGCAAGCGGCTGTGAAAGCCCAGGAGGTGGATGATCGCCTATGACGCCGAGCACGAGAGCAGCAACGGCAACAAGAGAAATGGACGCAGGTGGCGAGGCGCAGCGGCTGCAAGACACTACATTGCCTTGTGAGGTGAGCACCCATTGTAAGAAGCTCCAAAAACACTAGATGGAGCCTTGTGTTTTACCGCGGGATATATGGATGCGTTAAATTAAATGAATATATGTTAAATGCCATAAAATTTATAGATAAATTTGGTTTGGGTTGAAAAATTATGAAAAAAGTGTGAGAAATGATAATTTATGCTTTTATGTTGAGGTTTGGAATGTAAGGAATGGTAGATATAATTGTTATGTATGAATGTTAAGTTTTACGTGTTTAGTGAGTTATGTGATATGCTTGCATGTTAGATTTTAAGATGTACTAATAATTATTATGTTGAACTTTAAATGTTTAGTGGGTTGTAACTTAGTAGAAGGTAAAGATTTGTTTTGTTTTATCAATGCCTGGAAACTCGATTATTCTACAACAAAACCAAGGGCACTGTTTGAACAATCAATAGGCACTACTAACTGATTCTCCATCAGACAGTATGCGCATTAGTATGCGACAGGGGCGTGCGGTCTCTTGTGGGCATGGTATGGCACCTGCCATAGCTATGTTACGGCGTGAATGCTCTCATTACTTCTTTATCAGAAGTCTCGTTGAAAGGAAGCAGCCGAGAATGGCTGCACCGGTGACTTGACAAGAGCTCTGGCTCACTGGCTAACCTACTCGATCGGGTGATGGAATCAGTCAATAAGACAATATTCATCGGAACAGTAGTTAGCTCTTAGTGATTATGTGATTAATTGGTTTTTTGAGTTGATAGAAATTTAACTTGGATGAAAGGTGTAGATATCTAAGCAGCACGCAGCGCCAAAAGCGGCAACAAAAAAATATATGAGCAAGAATATATGACATTTATAAAGTAGGGAAAAGCTCTTAGCTAAAATTACTTCAATTATAAAATATGCACAGAAAAATACGGATTATAATTGTTGATTGCATTTAGGGTCATATATTATATATATAATAAGTACGGCTGTAATATAGTGTATATAAATTTATTTTTTTATTAATTATAAGCATATATCATTTAGTTTCTACGTGTCGACTCCGTCATACCTAAACTTTAGTGTTGGGTACATCATTGGTATGCGATACAAAAAATTAACGTGTCACCATGTCGTTGCCTCGCTATGGCCGCGGCGCCCGCTTGAACAATCAATAGGCACACTACTAACTGATTCCCCCATCACACAGTATGCGATACAAAATATTAATGTGTCGTCATGTCGTCGCCTCACTGGGGCCGCTGCTCCAAGCAGCGCCGCTCGAGCACGAGGTCTGGTTTGGCGCCCCTGAGATCCTGGACCCTGAGAGGGGTCAGTGATCGATGTTGGGACTGGGAGGCGATGGTAGCACTCAGGGTGGTAGGCCGGTGGAGACGGTGATGGGAAGGGAAAGGAGGAGGAGGTGGTCGTGCCCGACATGGAGGAGGGAGGGGCGATTCTATACTGAGAGATATATAGGAGGAGATCTTGGAGGGGAGCGACAGGGCGGCACTGATTGGGAGCAGGAGTGCTGGACAGTGGAGTTGACAGTTGTTTCGGACAAAAGAATTTTGTTGTTGTTTCCTCCAAATTTTGCCGCAAAATCCCTCTTAACCAAAAGGAGGTCTTTCAATTTAAGGTCCTTGGATATTTTGATTCTCAACATGTGGCATCTTCATTATGTTGTATGTGCACTAATCTTTCCAGTTTGTGTTCTCGGGACTGAATGTGGCAGCTAATCAAAAGCAGGGCTTTTCAAGTAAATTTCACACCTCGTCGCAATGCTCAGCGATACACCATCGATCATATGATTTTATCTGACAATAAATTTCATATTTCTTTTTTCTATATGATTGCTAAATATCGAAATATATGAGACATTTTCCGCAAGTATTGTGTTCGAAATATCACATGAGCCATTGGTATTGTTATCGCAAGAACCAGATAGAACGGTACCCACAAGCCACAAGCAGGGGAAAAATAGAAAGAAAGAAACACATAGCTTTTTTTTAGATAATGAAGAAACAAATAGGTAGCAGTGTGCAAACACAAAAACTCTGGCCTTCCTATGGAGGAAAGGCAACTTAGTTTTCTGAGTAGCAGACTCCTTCACGGCAGCGTGGGCCGGTAGAGAGGATGTGGAGTGTAGGTGGGACAGGGTGTTGAGGCTGAACCAAAATCACTTCAATGTGCAAACTACAATTCACCAACCGGCAAATATATTTCACACATTAATTGAGCTCTCAACTTGCCATAAACTTTGAGAATAGTTTATACTAGCAAATCAGGAGAATAAACACATGCACACAAGACACGATGATTTACGTGGAAAAACCTCCTCGGTGTGAGTAAAAAATCACGGGACCAACAGTCTGCTCCAATCAATAATGCGTACAAATGGAGTCTTCTCTAAAACATCTTGAGGCATATCACAATAGCAGCTATATCATTAAGTTACATATTTGATATCATCAATATCAACAATCACAATTAACAAGAGGTATAATAACAATAACCAGAGAAATAGTAGCTTTTTTTCCTTCAGTTTTTAGCTGAGATCTCCCAAACCACAGAAACAAATTGCACGAAACTTGGCAGAAATGATAGTCTATGAGTCCCTTCCAAGATATCCAAAAAAAGCCCAATCGGACATCGTTTGACCCGTCAAACTGATATTCTACCAAATGCCGCACAAGCTGAAACTACAGTTACTCGAGCTGATAAACCACCACTCGAATTCAGTGCTCTACTCAACCAATCCTCACAAAACTAACTGATTGAATTGCTCCAAGTGAGAAATGAACTCACCAAGTTTGGTGCCAATCTATCATGTTTGAGCCTCCAATCGCTGACTTGATGAAGATCGAGTAAGGGCCACCAAGCTGAACAAACTGCAACTCTTCTTCTACACTCTCCTCTCCCTCTTATGTGTTTTGTTGGTTGCTTTTCTTCTCTCCAATGGCTGCTGGCATGCTGCTCACTCTCTCTCAATGGAGACTAGGGTTTTCCTTCCTATCACAGAGGGATGAGGCAATCTCCACCCTTGATCATGATATGAATTAATGGCTCATATCTGTTGGACTTTTAGGCTGTAATGTGCTGAGAGCAAAGGCTCCACGTGGAGAGAATTTAGCCCAACACAGTGGACCGACTCAACCACTAGCAGAAGTTGCCGTTGAGCGGACAAGCTGCTGGAAGAGGGTGGAAATTTGAGGAAGGGTGTTCCTGTTTTTACGCACCCACCTTAGAGTGTACTTGTCAACTATAACAGCAAAACGTAATGGATTTTGCATTTTCTGAACTAAATAGAGTATCATCTATCCTGTGCTATGGAACAAAGTTGTGTTTTTTTTTTTGGTATTTTGTGATATTGGCTGTCCAGCTGTGGCATTAACCGAATGTTCTTGGCATTATCCAGCCGTACTATGTTATCCACTAAAGACTAGGTTATCCACTAAAGGTTTTGTTCAATCCTCTTTCTTGAACGTTAATGTATTTAATCGTACGAATTTGGTTAAATAGATGCTAATTTTTATATAAACTTGAGTCAAACTTGTCTAACTCAGAAGAGTTAAAATATTTTATAATATTCAACAGAGAGAATAATACCAAATAAATTAGCCAAAGTTACAAAAAAGAAACATGTTTCACAGTATCAAACAAAACTCAACCATTGATAAACCTAACATATATGACCGAAGTCACCAAACACCACGCATGATCTGACATCATCTACCATTCAGGATACATAACCTTAACCTAACATATGACCAACTTTTGTATGAATAGTTTAATTCGCATGAATGCACACACGTCGAGGGGTGATGGCGATTTGCTTTCCCCCATCGTCAATATATATGAACAGACTGTGTCTTTCCTGATGATGTGCCGCCAAATAAAAACTTGATTTAATTTTCTTTTGCAGATTACCGCTAGCAATCTCCCTATCAGTTCGACACCCAGCGGTGTGGAATTCGTATATACAAGTATGGTTCACACAACAAGGGTGCAAATATCTTTGACATGCTCATGTTTGGCCACTTCAGTCTCATATCTATGGATCGAATCAGTACGGTATTAGTTCTCACATTTTGTGAATTCCAAACGACCAAAACTAGGGTTAAATTCAAACCAGAAGGCATTCGAACAATTGGCCAAAGCTAAATTCATGACCTTTCAACAGTAAACACCTTGTAATTTACCGTTATTTTTTTGTTGTTTCTGCAGAGTTTCAGGCTTACATTGCTCACCGTGAACCTCTGTATCGGATGTGCCTTTGATTAGTATTTATTTAAGGATGACTGAACATGGCATTCACTATTCTCTCTGTCTCTTTGTTTACTAAATAATGTCCCCTGACAATGTTATACTAGGGACTGTTGGGCAGTTTGTGCTTATGCACGTAACACCTGAATTTTAATATCACTAGAAAAAACGCGCGGCTTTGCCACGCGTGGTACAGTGAGCCTGGCCCATTGGGCCTAGTGAACAGGTAACAAATTAATACGCATATATGGAATAGCCAGATTAATAGTAGAGATAACTAAAGCTTATATTAGAGCTTATAAGTTGGCTATAAGATTGTCTCTATATTTCTTTTTCCTCTCTCTTTATCTTACTTATAAGAATTTAATGTGTTTACCTTGAAGCATGTGTAGAGTTAGATTTTACTCGAAAGCCAACACTATATATATATATTTTAATCTCTATCATACACGTAAGTTTATAGCCCACTATTATTTTTGTTCTAAGAGCAAATTTTATGAGCAAGTTTTATAGCAGAGGTGATTGAGACCACCAATTTATTCACATCATCAACTAATTAATTAAGATGTAGCATATGTAATAAATTGTCTCTAACATACCGGCTCCAATTTTCATCCAATCCACACCATTCTTTTCTTGGAGTTTGTGAAGAGATTACCCCTTTCATGAGGGGTGGTTACTTCTCACATACTGTCTTGTAGCTCGTGCTGCAACTAACTAATAATATGTAGTCTATTTTTCTTCACTCTCCTTCGATGTTCTATAGCTAGCTTATTGCTTTATATTGTACTTGTTCTAAGGTTGCATTCGATAAAGGGACAAACAAAGGAAACGTCCATCATTTTTCACCCATATGTCGGAGTGTTTTTACATAAAAATATCTGTAGAAAAGTTACTTTTTTAAATAATCATATTTCTATATTTTTCATGTTTGAAACAGTCCTAAATCACCTGATGAAGCGATAATGGCACACCTCTTTTACGTATCTCATTTTTTCCCTCTTCTCTCAAATATAGCCTAAGGTATGTTTGTAACTTAGGAAAATAAAATACATGGAAGAAAACATTTGGAATATAAAACACATAAATACAGGTGTAAAACATAGAAATAAAAAAACATACTCCCTCCGAGTTGATAATACTTGTCGTTTTGGACAATGGTACGGTCTTAAAAAAACAACTTTGACCATTATTTTTTATTATAATATGTATATAAATGTTAACAAATATATGATTTTATTGAAGTACTTTTTAAGACTAATCTATACATATAGTCACCATATTTCAAAGACAAATATTTTAGAAATTATTCATAACCAAACATTTTAAGGTTTAGTCTCACCCTTGTCCAAAACGACAAGTGTTATCAGCTCAGAGGGAGTAGAAAGTTTAAAAAGATTAATATTTGGAACGTAGGATTTTTTAGTGGATGATTTAATTACATCCGGCTAATTTATTTTAATCCCTAACTAAAGTAGGTATTATTAATTCTTTGATCCTCAAGATCTGGTGGTGAAAGGAAGCAATAGCTGCCTGCTTGCCTGGGCTTTGCCAGCCGTACGGCGGCAATGTGAGAAATCAGCGTCAGCAACGTGGTACAGTTCATTGATCAGCATACACCGGGTGTTTGCACTACATGTATGCATAGTAATGGCGCCGGCTCTTCTAGAATCATCACACGGCATAATTCGCATGGGCTACCGATCAATGGCCTATTGGGGCCTGATTACGGAGAAATTTCTGGAGGCCTGCACACACGCACGCAAGAGCGTTTCGTCGATGCCTGCACGAGCGGATGCGAGATCGTTTCGTCGAGCCTCTTATGCGAAACTGGAGTTGCCACGTGGCACGTTTCTCCTTTTGATGGTTTGCATTGAATTCGTATTATAAGATATCAATCGCAGTAATGTTTAGTTACTTTGTCAAAATTAAAATCAATTATAATTTATTTAACTTGAATCGTAAAACCAAAAATTTTGCACTCCTTAACAAACAAAACCATGCAAAATTACGCTCCATAAGTGAGACATATTTATTGATATGCGACATATTGAAAAATCAAAATGAATATAGGAAATTAGAAACAGATTGTTCAGCATGTCTGCTTCCAATGAAGAAATCAATTATCTTTAAAATAACCGTAAACTCAAATTCTGTTAGTAGTTTTTTCATAATAGGACTTGCTTGTGTCAATGTCCTGATTAATTTTGAAATGTTGAAACGACTCTGGTAGCACTAATTTACCTCCCTGTCCTTCCCTGCATTCCTCCAACCACATATACCTGTGTTTAGTTAAGCGTAAAGTTTGGATTTTGGTTAAAATTGGAGATGATGTGACTGAAAAGTTATGTGTGTATGACAGATTGATGTGATGAAAAATGACTGAAGTTTGGATCCAAACTTTAGATCTAAACACAAGCCTACCGTCAACTGGAAGAATAGCTTCCAGTGCTAGCTAGCAGCAGTTTTGATCGATTCTGCCCCCGAAAGAGAGGTGGATGCGGATATGCACATGCAAATCTGCAACGCCATGGGCTTGCTTGTGACGATGCGTACTTGATTGAACTGACAACCATTGCGTTTGCGTCGAAAGCAGTTTTTTCAGACTGCCAAATTGTATTTTCGGAGGTGGTTTCTCGATCCGACCGCCCCTATGGGAATGACTGTTAAAATACATGAAAACAACTACGTAGTACGTACATGTAAAAATACATTTCCACGTGCATCTCCTTAAGATGAGTGCTATGGATATTTTCGTAGGCTGATATCTAAAACATCCGACTATATATGGAAATGCTCTTTCCATGGAAAGGAGGTTAACATGCCCGACCATACAATACTTTTCAATCCAAGGAAAACAATTCCAAATTCACATCCACAAATTCCCCAAATTCGTCCTAAATTCCCCAATTGACAAATTAATATGACAGTCTCTATCTATCCATATGAGTTTGTCTAGAAAGAAAAATCTGACAACTGCAAATGGCCACAATGACAAACTCTGTTCCCCTGCCAAATAAAAAAAAATGACAAAAAGATAAGTTCACGAAGATCACTGCTCTTAGTTGAAGTGCCAAAGATTGAGCAGTTCGGCCTCCACGGGCTTTACATCCGGAGAGGTCAGGCCTCCAGATCTCCTCTGCTATGCTCCTTCTTGAGCTCTATAGATAGAGAGGACAATTTTGGGAGGACACTTAATTCTCGAATGTGGGGGTGTTGAGCTCGCCGATGATGTTTCCTCACTGATCCCACTAAAGCCACCAGTAGCCTCCACATCGAGATCCATATTTAGGACTCCATGCCAGATCGACTCTTCTCGGGCTCCCGGGCTCCCGGGCTCCCGGCCAGGACAACATGGAGGAGGGTAGCACGGAGTGTTTTCAATGCACAATTGTTTTGATCGATGCAATTTAAATGTCATGTATTAAGACCGTTATGATCTATCACGACAAAATGTTTGATTAAGCCACAACGTTCAATTGCGGTGCATAACAAGAGCAGCACTATGTTTAGCAAACATAGATTAAGGATACACTGTACGTGTAACTAATCACATAAGAACTGAACTCACTGAAATATAGTCAAACGCAAACGTGGGTTTAAAACCTACTACTTGATATACAAAAGAGCAAATTAATAAAATTAAGTAGCATTACATGGCACACCACAATGGTCTCATTAATAGATACACGCCTTTTGGAGTAGACAATAGCTAGGCACAATGGAACTGAGATTCAACACTTATTCCTTCACTTTGCACATCCTTTTTAGCCACCGAAGTCTTCCTTGAGGGCTATTGAGGGTAAGAAATATTTCCCTATATTCAGGTTTAATAAATAATAGGGTAGCAATGAAATGCTCATCACTGCCTTCCTCAGCACCAGCATTAACAATTAACTCCATGATCTCAGAAATACCGCATCCTACTTCACTGATTCTCACGGATGTTTCTGAATTTGTTTGCTTCTCATTCTCAATGGGATGACCAAAAGCTGAAACCACATAATTTTTCTGAGGATCGATCAAGTTATTCGGGATATCATTAGAAGATTTTTGTAATTTTGCCTCCTCATTTCGCCTATTAACATCCTTATGAATGATCCCAGCATCATTTGAAGCAATGGAACATTTCTCGATACCAATAATAGCATTGACAACTTTATTAGCTTCAGTTCCTGGTAAAACCGAATCCAGCACGCCGTCAAAGATTATATTTAGCAAATCAACATTCTCAAGTGGTTCAAAGTGAAAATTTTCACAATCCGTCACTGCCTGAAGAAGAGTTGAAAGGATAACATGTCAGAGTAAAAGTAGAAAAAAATCTAGCTATAGATGAAAAGGAAGTTATGCCTAGTTGCATCTAATAGAGCAAGAGAGTGGACTATATTTATCCATAGTCAGCTACCAACACAAGAAAATATCACTACAAAAATAATACTCACAAGCTCCAACACCATTAGTTTTTTTTCATACAGTAGATATAGCTAAAGTAATTCGGCGCAGTCCATATAACTTTTTACATTTGTTGGAGAAAATAATTATGAACCTAACCATATACCAAGGAGGGTCAGAACTGAAATGGTATATATTAAGAGAGTGCATGTCATGGACATTGAGCTAATCTTGAAATTATGGAATTAAGGAAGTACTAGAATTGAAAACTAAACACGAGTAAAACTTGGTATTTATTATTTCCAATGTTTAAAATTATTGAATCATAGAAGAGCTATAATAATTGAATCCAAAATTAACTCTTTACAATTTCGTATTTATTAATCCTAGCTACCATACTTATTTAATGAAGAAAAACATGAAATTATTAATTTTAACTCTCAGAACTATTAAATGATAAAATACAAAGGAACAGAATAAAAGTATAACATCAGACATTATATACAGAATATAATCTATAAGATGTGCATTTCTTTAGTTATTACTAATCATAATTTTAAAATCATTAATAAATTGAATTGTTTTATTTTGTATGAACTTAACATTGGTGGTTAATTTGTAGTCTAGAGAGAAATTAACCAGAACTGCGGAATTCTGATCAAACATACCCAGATAAAATATTTGTTAAATCTTTAGTTCAGATATTTTATTTGTTTTCTTTTGATAGCAGCTGCTAATCGATGACATAATTGTGATACATTTTGTACTCTACTGTCACCATGTCATCTTATAAACTGCTACATAATAGTATTAACCACAAAAAAAAAATTCTAGCCATCATTAACAGCAAAACAGTTTGGTGATGGATGGTCCCAGTGTTAATTGCATGATTACCTGAGCAATGTGATGTACTATCTTATCTGGGACCATTTTTTGCTTGAGCAGATCACGAATAAGACGAATCTTTCCAAGTATTTGATGTTTCACTAGCCTTTCTTTATCCCGTCGCTCCATCTCTTGCTCTCGTCCAGTCAATTTGTAGATGTCGGCTCGAACATTGCGAGCAATTTCAAATGCTTGTTGACATTTGTCCGATAGTGCTTGTTTGAATGTAATTTGTTCACAATGAGTGTCTTTTGGGGGGAATGCTGTGATATTTTCATTTAGATAAGAGCAAAATTGGGCATACATCGGACATAAAGTTGGTTCAGCAACCGCCTTCTCTAATATAAGATCAATAACATCCTGCATAAAATGAACATAGCAGAAGCAAATCAACAGCAGTCATAACTAAAGCTTCCAGAACAAGAGAAACATGGAATTAACCAAACCTTCAAAATATCGGTTCTAGTGATTCCTGCTTCTATTAGTTGGTCCTTCAGAATATCGAACTTCTCTGGTGTCAATAAGTTCAGTATACTGTTCAAGAAAAACAAAAAAAATGTGCAAAAAAAAAGAAGAAAAACTTTTTCAATATGAAATTATAGTGAAAAATGATTTACTAAAGAAACACGAGCAATTATTCCCAAATCAATGAGTACCCTTTTACTGTTTTAAGAACTTTGTATTTCTCAGGGACAGTGCTTCTCTGGATTGACCAAGGGTCTTCAGCCTTATGAAGAGCCAAGGTGGGGCCAGCCTGATGTTTACAGTAAAATTAGAATGTTCCAAGAGTCATTTAAATGGTCGTAAAATATCACTACACTAGAAATCTAAAGTGGATATCCCAAGATGTACACTTCATATAGTTTAACTACTAATTCAAGAGATAATGGTGACTCGTCGTGCAGTACACAACTGAGAGCTCAAAGCCAAACCGGCCTACTGAGAGCACAAAGACTAAAACACTTAGATTTTCAATTTTCAAGATACCTGAGCTTTAGAATCAGACTGGAAGCTTTTTTGGTCTTGCTTGTTAAACTCCTTTTGCTTCCAACCTAAAGCATAGGGTTCTTTTGCTTCACGAGTATCGTCCTGAGATTTCTCTTCCTCGGCAACCACTGGAGTTTGTAAAGACCGTGAATGCCAGTCATGGCTGTCAGTCTCCTGAAAGCGTTTATATGACAGAGTTGGTACCTAACATATATGATACAACATTGAGATAAAACTTATTAACAAGTCGTTTCGAACAAGTTTAAACAATAACATAGAACAATATTTTTTTGGCAAGTAGTATTATTTTTTGGAAGCGAGGAAAAAATCATTCACAAAAATAATACAGTGTTTAAGCTGAAACAAGGGAGTCTATTATGATTATGATAGACAGGACATGACAGCTTAACACTCAGGAACATTAATTAGATCAGTGATATGCCATGCATGCATCTGGAATGAAAAGGGAAGAGCTCTCACATAATTTGTTTCATTTGGAGCCCGACTTTCATCTTCAGCACGGAGTTCTACATTAATATCTTGAATAAGTTTCATGATGTCCTTAGGTACATCAACAGTCTGCACATATTTATAGTTAGGCATTTGAATGATGTGGAAAGATGCCACATACACATTCATGCATATAGATAACTCAAACACTCATGCAACGAAATATATAAATACTTCGAGAATAACAGTCATTTCATAAATATCAAATGATAATAATGGATGTTTAACAGCGACTACAATTTCTCCTTCACGGGCAGCCCAAAGAAAATACCACAAGTGAAAATGGCTGGGACCATCTCAGGTCATAGACCATCTATGAAAATTAATTTTTACATGCAGACCTCTAAGAAATGCGGTTGCAAAAATTAATTTTCACAAGCAGCTCTACCTAAGAAATCAACCCTTAGAAATGGGAGAATCACTAAAACATGAACGAAATTGTAGCTCCTTCATATGAAGTCAGATCAATACAAACTTTATATGAAAACTGTAGATCTTGATGAGACTTAGAACTTTGTTGTTGAAGGGTTTTAGATTTGACATAATTTAGCATTTTGAATATTAAAATTTTATAATGGATTCTCTTCAACAGAACCGACCTTGAAAATAGAATCAATACTAAGATATAAAACAAAATCAAAACTCTTGCATATTAAGTCGGCTGATGACAAACTTCACCTAAAAATTATGGCACTTGACGAGATCTACAACTTTGTAATTAAAAGTTTGTTCATTTGAGATTGTTTAGGAGTTCAAATATTCATGTATTTGATCATATATCTATGTTTTAATTTATTTTTCTTATATTTCCAAACGACCTCGAATGGTGACATGTTCTATACGAAAATTTGAGCCATCTACGAGATCTACTACTTTTTTTATTTAAAGTTGATATTTTGAGAAAGTTTAGGGGTCCAAATATTGATTTTCTTTCTGGGATCTATTTTTGAATTTGGTTTTTAGTTTTGCAAACAACCTTGGATGGAGGCAAGTTCTATATTAATATTCTAGAGCACAATGAGAATACAACTTTGTTGATGAAAGTAGTTCTATATAAGATTATTTAGATACTTAAATATTCGTTATAAGTTCTGGCCTATAATTTTACAAGGTGTTATTTACAAAGTACCATCTTGATTTTTTTAGAAAAATCATATTAAATCTGATTGAGCTAAACCAAAGTCCTATGAGATTGTTATAGTAATTCCTGTAATATGTCAATTTTTATACTTTCACAGAATTCCTATGAGATTCTTTTTTCCCGGTGGTCATTTAATAATATCAAGTTACATAACATGCCAACTCGTATAGAGAATAAATAACATAAGTGAACAATCATATTGAAATAAGTGTTCTAAGTAAATATGAACCAAATCATATTACAGAGAATATTGTAAGGATAATGGAGGAGTTCGGTCCATCTCAATCAGAAATTTTGTTATTTTCAAAAAGTAAGGGAAAAATGTTTTTGCATGTGGATTTCTCGAAGAAAACCGGCCTTACAAATTTTTCCCTGACGGATTTCTTTAGCAAACAACCCGCATAAATATACAACCCATAAAAACTGATTTGTGTGGGCGGCTTTGTATAAGAAAAAACTCTGTTAAAATGGGAGCGCCACAAAAATATGAAAAAAAAGTATAGTTATTTCAAACTAACTTAGGTCATGATAAACTTTATATGAAAATTATAGCTCTCGACGAGGTCTATAACTTTGTTGTTGGCATCGTCTAGGGGGCTAAATATTCATTACAAACTCTTAGATATATTTTTGATAAAACTGATTTTTAAAACTTTCAACTGAGCTCCGATAGAGATATGCTATATAACAAAGTTGCAGAGCTCAACACTATCTACAAGTTTGTTGTTTATGACTTCTCCATTTGATATCATTTAGAGTGTAAAATATTACAATTCTTATAATAGGTGAAGCCAAAAGAATAGCATCCAATTTACAACAAAAACTTCAAAATAGGTGAGATAGTAAGAAGATTACAGACTGAATGAATCAGAGTACCTAGGTTCTAATCCTATAAATTGCACGCACACATAAAATTGCATGACTTGTGACCCTGGACGCCCAACTGTGTATAGATGCATACCGAAATACAAAACATTTTTTCGAGTTTTTTTGCACCTACAAGAATAAAAATTAGAAAATTAATTTTCACTAGCGTGTCCTTAAGGGTGCCACCCATGGAAACCCTCAATTTCTTCCGGCACGGAGTTGCATGCGAGTCAGAAAACACCCATGTAAACTGGTTATTGGCCATCCGCACAAACATTTTCTTTAGTAGTGCAACGAATACACAAATACTTCAAGGATAATAGTCATGTCATAAATATCATTAGGCGACGCCACAGCAAAGCATCGGGGTCTACTAACCCCGACGATTTTTAACAAGCATGTTATACCCCCTCTATTTTACCGTCGCTGACCCTGGTCAAAAAAAATATTAGACCCCAGTAGAATTAATTAGTTGAAGCCACTTGTGGTTAGCAGTAATGACACAACAAACAAATTAATATCTAAGCTAGGTCAGCCCAGCCCACGTAATGAGAAAACGCTTGAATTTGAGCCCACAAGGCTGGCAGCCCACTACTCCACTAGTCTCCACAAAATCCCTGTTTTGATAACGTATTCTAGTATTCCTCCATGGTAATTATGGAGTCTCGACTTCTCGTCTTCAGGTCTTCTTGAGTCACATCTAGGCAAGGGCGGGCGAGACGCCGGGATGGCTAGACGGGCGGCGAACGGGCGAATCAGCAAAGACCGAAGACATCAAGAACTAGGATTAGGTGATCACGCGACGGCAAGCGTGAGCAGCCGAGCTGCCGTTTGATTAGGTAAGTAGGTAACCCTATCCCAATTTTTTTTCTTCCGGGGACTATCACAAATTCTTGTTTTCTCATCTCTGAAACCTAATCTTAGGAATTTAGGGTTCTGAAATATGCACTTTTCAATTTATTCAGACTTCTGTTACATGGCCTTATGCCTGATGGTCGTGAACGAGGAGGAGGATTGAATTATATATTCATAATTATTTTTTCCTCCCAGCATAATGGATGGTAAGAAACTAGTGGTTTTGCTAAGAGTTGCTGCTTATGCATTTGTTGTCTATATTGTGTAATTGTGTTCCTGATCAATCTTGTTCTATAACTATTTAATAGGCATGCAAACTATGATGGATCGATTCTTGAAAACAAAAATACCCCCCATGGTGATAATGAGAATTGTGGTGGAGCAAATTCTACGGAATCGTATTGGTGATCAATTTATGAATGATTGTACCATATGTTTCGTCGAACCGGAAATGCTAGCTTCAATTCCAAATAATGATGTGGTTGTTGGCTTTCACAAGATGGAGGATAGGAGCCGTATACAAGATTTGTAACATGTAAGAGGTAACCACTAGAGCAATAGACTTTATTTTATCATAATATGGCACTGTTGATTTTGTTCTATCTTATGCATAGTCTTAGGTCATTGCAAGCTATAGATCTGTTGTTAGTATCATTAGTTAGTAGACCCCGGTGACCATTTTTCCTGGCTTCGCCCTTGAATATCAAAAGTAGATAAAAGATGTTTTACAGTGACGAATTATACTAATGACATGAATATTTTGTTTATTAACTATTGTGAGATTATGAGTAAAGTATAATAATTAGTGTAATTTTATACAATGAGTTAATCTGTAAAATATATTACAACCAGTCAACAAGAACTTAATTAATATACCTCGCGCAGTTTGAGAAGTTGATCCCTTGTGTAACGGATTTGCTCAGCAGGCTGAAAACATGAATTCCCACGCTGCAGCAGATCACTACAAAATTAATCAGCATGGCAAAAGGTACAAACCACATAAAAAGTTGGCACCCCGCGTCTTGCCGCGGGTTTTTTAGTTTTATCGTTAAACAAAATCGTAGTTTTAAATGGTTAGGTGCAACTCTGTATATATACAAAATATATAATAATGTGGCTTTATATATATCTTATGTTAGTATAATACAATTCATGCTTCATTTTTCCAAGCGTCATTGTGTATTGCTATAATATATGAATATTATTTTCATGTGCAATATGGGTATTGTTGTAGTTAGACAATTTGCATCTCTCTGCTTCATTCAAGTTTTTTTTATGAAAATTGATTCAGGTAACGATAACTAATAATTATATGCTATCTAATCATGCATAGTAAAATAAAACACACATCTTTAACAATAATTTGAGTTATGCACAAAATATATAACAGTGCTATGTGTGACTATGAGGTGGAGCAAAGGGAGGTGATTGTATAACTAATAAATGATTGAATTGGATGAATAAGTAGCTTCTTGATCAAACGGTTGTTATCTTTGTACTAATGTGATCTGATGTCTTAAAATTGTTGATGATGTGGCTTCTTGCATGTCTTGCTTTATAGAAGTAAATGCCCTTTACTAGGTATCAACTATATAAGAAGATAATATAACACGAGTTGCACACATAAATAATGATGCAGTATCAAGTATTGTCTCAAGTCTCAACTCGTTTTCATGCTTGGCTCTCCCATTGGATGAGCTATTGCAGCTCTTGCTCCTCAAACCACTGCTATCCGACCTTACTCCTGTTCATGTCTACCCTTGTTATGCACTACAAGTATATCATAGGCATTGGCTAATGCTTCCCACTCAAAACATGTTTGAATTAAGCCAACAAATTGTAGTATTCGACTATCAAACTTCAAGACAGTTCAGTTTGCATGGAAATTGCCTACTAGGAGAAAGGGGCTCTTTTGTTTGAGTATGTACTGCCAAATCGATCTCTTAGTGCCAACCGTTAGGTAAGTAATTAATGGCATTACCAATGTTTTGGATGAATAGGGTTATAATAGCAACCATATAGACAATGCAAATAATTGCATATTAACCCAAACATTTAGCAGGTCTATATTTAACATGTCAAATATTTCATGGTGCAAGTTCGGGATCACACCATATATAGAAATTAAAGCCTACAATATTTTGAACAAAACTTACCTGAAAATCATCTTTAGATGGAACAGGTTGCTCATTTAATTCTCCATGGTCAAGGACCGAGTAAATGTTCACTCCCGAGGATATTTGATTGGTTTGGAGAGAGCCATCCCACTTCTCATGACCTGAGCCTGAATTTGGATGGTGAAACTTGCAATTACTGCCAAATTTACAGATTCCGCGGTTCATGTAGTATGAGCACAATCCAGTCCCCTGCGGAATTACATATATCATGTTTTCACCAATCAAATTGTAATTTATGAAATATTGAAATGGCAGTATTAAAGGAGCCATGTTGAGATGAATGAAGAAGACAAAGAGAATTAAAGCTTGCTAAAAAAAGATCGGCTTAACATAACTTTGTGGTGAAGGAAATAACCCCACAAGAAAAGATGTACAGAAAAACTTACAGGACGAAGTGGAAGCCCAAGAAAGTTCAGCTTTACATGCTCAGCTTCACTTTTTCCTTCACTATGGTGGCAGTGGCAAGCTTTCCAAGGAAAATACTGAAAAACACTTTGTTTAAGAAAAATAATACTTCCTTCTAATGACGTAATATTTATGCATACATTGATTTCTGAATGTAGGGATGGGCCATCGTGCAAAATATAAAAGAAGATTTTTTTACAAAAATGTTTTGAGCCGATGCTTGTGATTTGTAAAGAACTCGCATTTCCTCCATCCTTCCCTTTTTGTTCTGACTGAATTCACAGAATTGCAAATTTAGTAACTAAACTATCGACTACAATATTATATAGTCATTTTCAAGTTACCACAATGTTAGTGGACGAAATTATCAGAAAACTGTAACTCCACTACGACCTGGATTACTTTAAATAAGAAAATTGTCAACTGAAAATGTTTGATATATACCAAGCTTGTCTCTATCAAAAAGTAGTTTGACAACTTTAAATGTTCATTTTATCCAAATAGATCCTAGCACTCCAAACACATATTCGGGCACGTGAATATCTTAATGAAAATGTCTTGAAATTAGACGTTATAGGTTTTTCCGAGCTCTTCTAAAACTGTTATGCAAACCTTGTTTTCATCTGATTTTATATGAAAAATATATCAAACGTTGACTAATCTTTTTTGAAGGGAATGTTGTCCAAACATTAGCATACCGGCATGTTTACAAACATTATATAGCATACCTGAATATACTCCCTTCATTAAAAATATTTTTCATAGATGACGTCATCATGTTATGACATTATGTTTAATCACTCATTCTATTCAATAAATTTATAAAAATGTTATTTATTTTATTTTGTTGCGACATGTTTTATCATTTAATAATGTTTAAGTAAGACTTATACTTGAGCATGTTTGCACTAATTTTTTAAATAAGACGAATTGAATAATCAAACATTATTCTAAAAATCAACCGGATAAGCTAGAGAATATGATAAAGCTAGCCTATATTCACCGAGCAAAGAAGGCCCTAATAACGAACGTACCACTTGCTGCTGAGGCAGGCGGTCGGGAGGGTGGTTGAACCTGCAGTTCATCCCGTACTTGCATCTCCCGAACCTCAGGTAGTGGAGGCAGTCGTGCTCCCCGGGCCGTTGCGGGTGCTCCAGCTTGTCGCAACCGCCGGCATGCTTCGCAGGGTGGTTGTACAGGCAGCGCATCCCGAACTTGCAGCTCCCGAACTCCACGTAGTAGCTGCAGTCCGGCACTCCGGGTCGCCGTGGGTACTCCTGCGGCTCAACCGCCGCCTTCGGTTCCGTCTCGCCGGCGCTGCTGCTGGTGCCAGCAGGCCGCCGGTCATCCAATGTCTTCACCGTGCTGCTGGCATGTTGCTGCGAGGGCGTCGGCGAAATGGCGGCGGGATCGGAGGCGGAAGAGGAGGTGGTGGTGGCCATCGGAGTGGAGGAAGAACGGTGGTCGCTGTTGCAACACTCGCAGAGGATTTGCATCATAGCTCGATCTCTCTGTACTATGTCTCTTGGTTGGAGGAGTTAATTTGGTTTGCTTGCTGCTTGAGAGAGAGAGAGGTGGTGATCGAGGTAGCTAGAGAGTGGTGCGTGTTATAGTGAGAAGAAAAGGGGGCGGGAAAGGAGAAGGTAGCGTATGTCTTTCGGCCAAAATGATGTGGCATATGTCCTTGTTCCTTAACGGTGGAGGACTGAAGGATGTGCATGCATATGCATGACCAGTTGGTCCACTTAGGCAAGCAGGTAAAAGGGAATGGGAGGGAACTAAATTAAGAAGCGTATAGATCGTAACTAACTGCTGTAACTCATTAACACTCTCTCTGTTAATTTGGCAGATATAGTTTCATATCTGTAATAGTAATTGCGTTATGGCCAACTGGGACTGTCTAGCTCTCAATGATCGACCTGAAAATCCATACAAATTTCAGTCACTTTTCAACCGTCCAGGTTGCTCGAATATTCATGCGCCAGTACCCTTATTTTGATGTCTTCTCTTCCCCTCTGTCTCTCTCCCCAACACGAGCGCTTCAGATCGAGCGTACTCATCCTCGAGCGCCACCGTCTCGCCCGTTCCAGCATGCCACCACCGGGCTTGCTGGCTGTACGTTAAAAGTGCTTACGAGTAACGAGGCCCGCGAAACCGGCCGGCTCCTCCTCCATCTCTTCTTCCCTAAGCCGGTGGTGGCACCATTGCCCTGCATCGCCCTGGTACAGATTGGTTATTTGGTTAACGATTGATACTATAGTTCAGGTAGCTCCATAAAAAAAATCGTACCATGATTTTATATTTAATTCAAAAATAAAAATTTGAATAATCCTTTTGCTAAAGCAGAGAAATTTTGAAATTTTTGAGCAGAATCAGATAATAGAATATATGAAAACTAGTGAATCTTTAATATAATATCTAGAAATTTTGGTCCAAAATATTGAAACCTACATCCTAATGTACCAATAAAAGTGTGTAGCAACCGGCAATCCTAAGTACTGGGACTATACAAGTGGAAGCAACTTGTGCGCAGGCCTTCTTCTGCATTAGGAGGCACTAGCAATAATATAGAACCTACATGTCAATATAGAGTACTGCAGGGATCCTGTTCCAGTGAAGGTTGCCTCTATTCAGAGTTGTCAAGGGGTGGTGGCACCCTCGTTGTGGTGGGGGAGGACTGGAGGAGGTAGTTTGTGGTAAAGAAGCGTAGGGAGGTTTTCACAATATGGCTGCTTTCCAACAGAACTAAATAAAACATCATTTTCCTTCACCTCCAAGATAAATTGTTCTAGGTAGGATGGGAGAGTGGTCTATTCTAGTCACTGATATAATATACTCGTGTGTTGCAATGGGCCAGACCCATACAATTTGGGATGGGCTAGGAAGGTCAATTGAGATGGATAGGGAAGGCGGATTGAGGATAAGCACCGGAGATGGTGGTTACGAACATGAAGGTGTGAAAGATACAATGCACGGCGATAGTAAGAAGAGGTGATGGAAGGCGAACGACTCCGCTTTTAATTAGTAGAGATATGCATTGGGCATCGTTTACAGTTTCAATGACGAACCATCGAAGTGGTTCTAATGGTCCAAACCATTATAAGTTAGGGACAATTACGTTCTTGACACTACTTTTAGATGTAATTGTGATGTTCTCCTAAAATAGGTTTGTGAATTTTCCTCTGCTTTTTTAAAATGAAGTTGCCATATACCCCAACTCTGGATGACCATTTGGTAGGCCTCCAATAAGAGATTGTGAATATTAGATAAAATTAACTGAGAATATATGAAATGACCATTATACCTTCTCATTGCACTCATATTGGTTGAAATGACCATTATACCTTCTCATTGCACTCATATTGGTTCACCTGATCCCCATTCCTAAATCAAGCCTAACCCTAGATATAGTGGTAACTTTGGCGGCTGTGCACGAATGAGCCAGAGTGAAAGTAGAAGACGAAGTCCCCCAAACCGCACTGGTGATTGTTGGCGTAGGGGATGTAGTCATAGTAGTCGTGCGGAAGAAGCCGCTAGCTTTATCCTAAAGGGTTCACCGGTGATCAGCAGCAGGTTAGCGGCGACCTTCCGGTTGCCACCTACCCTGCTCTGGGTCAGCCAAATGTTCTCCCTGTAACGCTTAACTGATTGGATAGGGTTTAGGGTTTTCAGGGAGAAGATGATCCTGGAGAGATATGATCATCATCTGTCCACGACATCGGTCTCCCCTATAAATATGGCGCTGAGGGAGACCGGGCGCAATCCAAAATATGGAAGGTTTTGGCGCTACCGATCAACGTGCATCATTAAAGAAACTAATAGTGATTTGGAATGAGTAGATTACGCGGGCATGGGGTGAAAATTAACCACGCGTGATCTCCTCCGGTTTTCTTGTCGAGAGATCAAATTTTGCCAGCAATATATCCATGGCTTGCTTATGGGGAGCACAGTGAAAAATTAAGTTATTAAGGAAGACCAACGCAAACTTTGGTAGCAAAAGGGCCCGTATACATGCCCCACCACAGGAGACAAAGTGAAAACAAATGGAAAAAAGAAGGCAACACACGAAAAGTGCTTTTGAACCAAACCGATTTCCTTTTCACTCTTGTATTTCCTTAACGCCCAAGGACAAGCTAACTTCAGGCTTTCTTCTTTGCAGATGGCTGAGCCAAAGCACACGGTTGAGCAGTGGAAATCTCTCCTCATTGTATTTTTTTACTACTACCTCCATCTCATAATATTTGTATTTATAGGATTCAAATTTATCCCAAAATAATTATCATAATAGAGTACTAATTATCATATTAGTCACTTCTCGTTTAAGTTTATTGCTATTTTGCCCTAGTCATTGTTCCACTCTTATCTATACATCATTTAAGGAAAAATTTGCTACAGGACACTCCAAAAATATGTAATTAGCTGTAGGACATAAAAAAACATGAATTTGCCCGAAAACACTCCGAAAGTATGGTAATTTGCTGCAGTATACCGAACGCATTAAAATATAATATTCACCCAATTGACGAGAGAGAAACCATACAAAATAACATATTTGCCCTTCTTCTTCCGACGCTCACTTGCAGCGAGCTCCATTGGCTTGCCCATGGCGGACAACCGCTCAGTGTAGTCGACGGCGCGGTCGTGCGGCATGCCACTGTCACCGGCCTCGTCCTTACCACCAAGTCCCCACCTGACCGCGAGCGCGTCACCGAGCTCATCTCCCGCTTCCGTGGCGCCACAAGCTCTGGTGGTCTCCTCGAGACGTTGCACGAGCTCAGGGACGTGGCCGCTGTGAGCGAGCCTAACAGGAAGCTCCTCACGGCCGTCCCCGGCACGGTGGAGTGCTGGAGTGATCGATTGACAATAGCAAAGATTCACATATATAGGAACTATCCATTTTCTGCTGATGGAGTGATGGCTGGTTTTGCTTGACTTGTTGCTTGCTGAGTTGCTGCTGCACCTGCACCGCTATGGCGCCATGCGACCTTGGCTGGTTTGCCATTGCCTGCTAGCTTGCCAACTACCATGCCACTGCCGCCGCCAGGAACCCGGCGGCCTCACCCCTCCTAGCCTTCGCCTGCCCTCCTGCATGCCGCGCCGGCTCTAGGCTCCACAGCAGCCGCCGTTCATCGATGGGGTGACGAGGATTTGGGTCGTGTCACGTCCTGATAAATTCATCCCGAAATAAAAATCATTTTCTAAAAGAAATAATAGAATTAATTAAAATTCGAAAAGAAATTAGCAAACACTAAAATACGTACAAGAAAAATTCGAATGTGGCCCGGAGAATTTTTGTTAAATTCTCCTTGGTCTAAAATGAGCCCTCAAATTTTACTTGAATTTTCAGAGCACCGGAAATATTTATTAAGCAACAACAACAATTATCAAAGTTTATTAAAAAGAAAAACCTAAAAATAATCCTCCTTCCTCCTTTGGGCCAAGTCCTCCCTCTCTCTCTCCCTCGGCCCGCGGCCCAAGTGCTCTCTTCCTCCCTCTCTTTCTCTCCCTCTCCTTCTCTCCCTCCTTCTCTTGGGCCTCCCCTTCCTCTCCCGGCCCACTCCCTTTTCCTCCCCTCCCGCCTGGGCCACCTCCTGGCCCAAGCCGCCCCACCTAGCCGCCCCAGCCTCCCGAGCCGCCCCCCCCCCTCACGCGCGCCGCACGCGCGCTAACCGCGCGCCCCGCGTGGGTCCCACGCGCCGGGTCGTCGTCCTCCTCCCGCCCGGCCTCCTTCCTCTCTCTCCCGTGAACCCTAGCTCCTTTCCTCCCTCAAATCCGTGCGATTTACTCATGGGATTCCAAAATTAAATAGGGGGAATTAATCCCCATTGATTCCTCTTTGATTCCCCCCAATTTCCCCTTGATTCGTGTCCTCTAACGCCCGGAACGGCCGCGCCATTCCCGGCCGCCTTCCATGGCCGCCGGCCGTGTTTCCCGTCGCCGTTCCGCCCTCTCCCATGCCCGGCTCCCTCCCCCATCCTATAAAATGGAACCCCCTCACTCCGTTCTATCATTTTAGCCCCCTCCCGCGCTCTCCCGTGGCCTCACCACCTCTCCCCGCCATCCTCCTCTCTCTCCCGTGCCGCCGGCCGCCTCCAGCCGCCTCTCCCTTCTCGCCGGAGCGCCGTCCGGTCGCGCCGTCGCCACCAGCAGCCTCGCAGCCGCCTCCTCTCCCCCGGGCCGTCCTCCGTTTAGCGTGGAGAGCACCGGAGGCGCGTTCCCGCCGGCGTTCAGTGGCGTCGCCGCCACTACACCGTCTCCGGCCGGCTCCTGTTCGTCGCCGGTACGCCGATCGATGCCTCCGTCTCCTCCTTCGATACCACGGCATCGTCTCCTTCCCCGGCCACTCCTCGGTTTCGCCGGAACACCGCCGTGCCGCGCCGGCCTCTCCATCCACCTCGCCGGAATTTCCCCGGTCGGCCCTTCCTCCACCCGTGCACCGTCGGCCGCGCCACCACCACCTCCGGCATCGCAGCGGCGAGCCGGTGACGTCGTCCTCGGCATCGCCTCCTCTCCATCCTCGTCGTTGCCGACGTCCCTTCGGTCGGCCGCTCCTCCTCGCCGGCTCCTCGTCTCGTTGTGCCGCCACCGTCGTGGGCATCGCTGCGGCGTGTCCCACGCCGGCCTCACCTCT